TCAGCTGAGGACAGGAATTTTAGTGCATGTCTTTTAGCCTTCATGTTTTCGACAGCAACAATAATGTCACAACGACACGAGTGTGCTGCCTTGGGAATCGAGAAATGATGGAAGTGGCAAAGGGAGAGCAGCGAAGCGTCTGGATATTCTACATGTCGTTAATGTCAACTACGCGCTAACGTTGAGGTAATGGTTTTGTTGTCGACGACGTTCTTTTCATGCTGCTGTTTGACTGTCGTTTATTAACTAATATTATTCTACTTCGATCAGCTTTATATGGGATATTATACTCGTGCGTCGGTAGCCCTACCGAAGAAATGTAGGATAGAAACTCTTAATTACGATGCAATGTTTTTGACACTAACTTTTCCGGTTTTAACCATCCGCTGTTGCAGAGAACTAGGTGTCAGCCGTGACCTACAACCATTTTGCATTGAATAATACCCGTGAGACGTGTGGAAACGTTTTACCTGTATCTCATCAAATAGATCATTGAAAAATAAGCGTTTTTCTAATAAATCATTAATGTTTCGCGCATAACTCGTCTGAGAACAGATTTCAAGGCTAATAGAACTGCCTCCTCGTTCCTATTTGTCTAAGACAAGGCTTTTAAAGGGGTTACGGCTCCATGGAATTCATGCACCTGCACTGCTCGATGCATTTCACATCATTTTGTCTGCTGGGGCACCTCACACTCGTCACGAACGAGGTATCAGGAGCAGGTACTCATTCTGTACTACTGCCTTTACATAAAATATTTATTCGCACGCAGGAGTATATTAAAAGCACACAACTCCTCCTGCATTGAATTTCACGGCGTACTGAACTGCTCCCTTGCTCCTAGTTGCCAATGTGACAATGTGAACAGCCAAGGCTTCATGGCATTTGCAGCCCATATTTTATGTAATATTCATATAAGCATTGATGGAGATGCCAAGGTGTGCCTTTTGCCAAGAGAGTATATGACTGCCTGCGATTATCGATGATAAACATCCATGATAAACATCGATGATAAACACAAGAAAGCCTCAGCATCGATGATAAACACAAGAAAGCCTGCAATGACTAAAAGTGGATCTTCTGAAAATTTATTGATCATGAATCTCATTCAGTCCTCTCTACCCAATTTGTAACCATAGCTGTTTTCGAAAACACCATTCTTGACATCGAAGGAAGTTTAGCTTGTGTGTTTAGAAATTATCTTTATCTACCAGACCTGCATTTTGCTCACTATGTTACCTGGAGCCGGGTCCTGAAAGCCGCAGAGTGCCAACGCAAAGAACCTTCAGGCCTTCCATATTCAGAATCAAAGGTGGTACCTCAACATCGGATAGCATTGCCTCATTAGCAACGTATCAGTCGTCGAATTAAACTATGTTACCCTTCATCGATGACTCAGTTGACCAGCGCAGAACTGCTCTTTTCGGTCACATGCCGAAAATGCAACATAGGTTCCCGCACACAGTGCAATCGCTGCAGACCGTCACAAGGGTGTCGTACCGTCGCCTTCTTGGCGGCGGCCCAGAGGTAAACTACAGGACACATGGACGAAATAGCTTGCTTCCGATTTTAAAAAATTCAACGCCCCATCGCGAGGTCATAGTTTGTTCCCTCCATGGTCCCAACGCCGACCTCGAATTATTTCTTGCGGTGCAATAGAGCTGCAGCGATTGCAGTCGTGGTGTAAAGTGAAAAAAAGATTTTTCTTTTTTTACACTGCGCATTTTCGCTATTTCCATCCGGTATCATTATTTTTAATGGGTTATATTCAGCGCCGGTATCGAAAACTCCCTCATAGCATTAGGTGGAGGGGGTTGTACTTTGCCACGAGTTTTCTTCTCTGGTTGTTTGTTTTTCGCACCCTTAGATGTATCTGAAAATTCACAAAGCTAAGCCTCAAGAAATGAGTTAATAATTGTGTCCTTTGATCGATATCGTAACCAAAAGCATATCTGTACAGTTGTTCATCGTTCGTTTCAGGTTTTGTGAACAACATGGCATGGAACGTACAAGTGGCGGCAAATCTGACGCTGGGTCTGACGTTTGTGTTGATCGCAGGTGGAACCCTCAATAATTCAAGCTGTCCCGATTCATGTCAATGTACGTCGTCCAGCTTTGGTTCAAAGAGCGCTAGTCCGGAGGGTGTATCCGTGCTGTGTGAGGCTCAAGACCCGGAGACCATTCAGTACCTCACCGCCTCACTGCCGTCGAACGTTTTCTCGTTTACCGTGCGATACAGTGAGATTACCGGTCTAATCGATTTCTGCTGCTTGGAGGAAGTGCAAGTTCTGGATTTGTCCCACAATCGCATATCCGATGCGCTCTCCTATTTCCAGTTCACCGAGGTTCTCGAGCTGAACTTACAGCATAACCAGTTCCAGATTCTGCGAAAAGATGAGTTCATCTGTTTTCCGAACGTCGAGGTGTTGAGGCTAGACTTTAACGAAATTCAGGTGATCGACCATGAGACATTCCGACTGCTAAAGCTCAGAGAGCTACATCTCAGCAATAACCGGCTAGTTTATGTGAGCGAAAGGATTTTCCGGTTCCTGCCGATGGTCGAGTCGCTGGACCTCAGCGGTAACATGTTGTCCTTTGTGCATAGCAGAAACTTTTACTACTCGAGGAGGCTGAAGGTGCTGGATCTCAGCGACAACAAAATCGGCTCAGTCGACGAACGCGCCTTTGAACCCCTGCAACGACTGGTGGACATCAACTTCTCGAACAACAACCTGGAAGAGGTACCTGCCGCGGCCCTCATGGATATGCGTTTTCTCCAGCTGAACTTCAACGGTAACCCGATCAAGAGTTTGAAAAGTAACGCCTTGGATTTCCTGCAGGTTGAGTCCGTGTCCTTTGACCAGGTGGAAGAGCTGCGGATGGTCATGGAAAATTCCTTCAGCAATATTAAGCATCTGCGGAAGGTGTCGATCAGCAACTGCGAAAACCTCGAGTACATGTCGCCCAATTGGCTAGCTAACGAATCCATGGTCGAGGAGGTGAATCTCAGTAATAACAACCTCCGGATAATTCCGTTTTCTTCCTTCCAATCGCCAGCGCTCAAAATAGTGGACATCACCAAAAATCCGCTTGACTGCAACTGTTTGTCTCCAATCGTGGCCAACATCTCCTTGGAAAAATTTGTCACCGACCATGAATGTCTTCAGAAAGTTTTGCGAGGCCAATCGACGGTTAACGAGTCAAACAGCTGCCCTCCTGCATTGATCCCCTCAACGAACGAGTCGTTGCTGAGGCCGGTTGGAATGCCCGCTGAACTTTTCTGTGCCGTAGTTGGTCTCGAAAGCGCCTCCGTTACATGGGTGCTTCCGAACGGCACCTCGGTTAATAAGTACGTCGTGTACCCAAGACATTATGCAACTAACGAGCAGCTGTCCATCAAGTACCTGCTCCTGAACGATTCTGGAACCTACAAATGTACCCTGGTAGCAGCCGGTAACAGGCGAACATATCGTACGGTCCAGCTTACTGTAGAAGACCCTGGCATAAGCCTTTATCCGTTAACCGTGTCTTCTAATTCAATTACTCTTGGTTGGAACAAAACCGTCGGCATCTTACAACATGGAGAGTACAAACTACAGTATGGTACCTCTAACGAAGACCTCACCGTTTCCACTACTACCCTACTTCCCAACTTCTGGAACACCTATACCATAGCGAAATTGCAGCCGCAGACCAACTACACGTTTTGCATAATATATA